CGGGCAAGATTTTAAGAATTCACCCCGTATGATGTTAATACGAATTACCCTGAGGGCAGTGAACGAAGCCAATGCCGAACGGACCAATCGAAAGGCAGGACCGCGTGGAGCCCTCTTTTAATGGGTTGGGCAGGTACCTGCAGCATCGCCAATTTCCTGAGATATTGGATTTTCTTTCAGTCCAATACTTTAACACATTTTGTGATCCTCTTTGAAAGATTGCGTTTTATTTGTGCAAAGTAATACATAATCTAAAACACTGCTTTTTGAAGGTTCGGCGATGTAGATTTGTGAACGTGCCGAATAATAACTCAGGAGACTGTTTGTAATAGTGACCGTTTTTATTAATTATGGCTTGTCTAATTTACATAATCGGTGTTAGGATGCACAGGTATCTATGTCTACCCTTTCTGTCAGCTAATTTGTGATAAATACCGACTGAAGATTAAATTCCTTGGGAACTTGTCTTATGATTTGGGAGGAACTTTTAAGCAAAAATAAGTTGCAAACGACTGATTAGGCAGTAAATGGAACTCCTTCAAGTTAGACCCATCACTTAAAACCCTATGGAGTTGGGTATGTGAACCACCAATTATGCCACGGAACAACTATTCAGCGACGAATATATGTAGGGCACTTGAAAGGAATTCAAGTAAACTGGAGCTTTGCAGTTCAAAAATGTTTTTTTTTTCGCGTAATTTTTAGGGGCTATGAGGAGCAGCTAGCCGGCGTAAATAGGCAATGTGGGGCCACATTCAAGGCAAAGGCACTCGAGGCGATGCGAAATCCTCTCGTCAATTGGTCTGATTATTCGGTCGAGTTCGCCTCCGCCTTCGGCATCTTCATAGTCATCCTCATTGGCCTCGTCATCGTCTTGATCGTCTTTATCGTAGAATTCTGCCTCGATGTCTACAAGGTAATCTCTAGGCGATTTTTCATTACTACGTGCATAAAAATCATTTAAAACTCCGTCATTATTGTGTGTAATGTTGCATAACGCGTTTGCAATTCGCTTAGGAATAAAATCAGACACCACAACATTCCAACTGTTTCATTGTTTTAAGACGTCACTAGCTGCTTTTCATTTGTTTTTTCCTCCCAACTCAATGCTTCTCCTTTTTATTGAATGCGTCGTATGCGTGTGATGTGCGGGCACTTTCAAGAAAGTCGGGTCGTCAAATATGTATGACGTTGGTAACAAAGGCAATACATAGTGGTTCTTCCGTTTAATCACCCTTGTATTTCAAATGTCACATCATTTGTAGTATTTAAAAAGAAAGCACTTGAAAGAGTTTGATTTAAAGATGGTTTGTGCCATAACACGAAAAAAAGTGTCAAGTCTTCAATTAGAACTACCCCTCCACTACTGATTACGACATGGACAGATTGCATGCGATAAACTCCGTTGATTAATTAACTCCCCTCGAAAGGTTTACCTCTTCGTGATAATCGCGATGGCGACTAACTGGAGTTCGATGTGGAACTGAGACTTGGGGTGAAGGCGATGCTCACGCTTTGTTTTTAGCACACTTTTTTTAACGCGATCTTTTATTTTAGAAGCCGGAACAGGGCCAATGAAGACGAGCCTCGGAATGCGGACTCGTGATATTGACCATACCATCTTCCTCACTGTGAACGTTTTCACAGACCTCCTCAGAAAAGTGCATTTGTTCTTGACCTCCTAATAAGCCTTTCAAATCGTGTATTCGTGGCCAATTTTGGAACGTCCTGTAATTGATTTGTAATGTGGGGGAGCGCGCAAAAGCGATTCTCCGTTGGTAGTGGACCCATTTATTGCTTATTTGTTTGTCAAAAACTTGGTCCGGCTTTTGTCTGGTTTGCGAATTTCCGACTTTAAACTCAATGATCCTAGTCCCTTTTCAAAAAAGTAAGTGTTTATTGCTACCCACATGCATTCCTTTTACTGTGTCAGAGTGGCACGTGAGATGCCGCGGTGGTTCGAGTCATCCCTGAAATCTCAATGCGACATGCCAAAACTGAAAAGTGATTTGGCATGGGCGTATGAGAGGGTGTAGGAGCTGTAAATGTGGGCTTCCGCAGCACCTGACATGCCCTTTTAGTTAGATATAAATTTGAGCAAGGATCATTTTACCCATATTATACAATTAACACTTTTGACTGGCGGTACTTGCTGCATTTATTCCCAGGAGTGTTGGTTTTAGTTCTTAGTACCGAAAGGTAAAACGCATTAGCAGAAATAAGTCGCAATTCGCAAAACAACTTAAGATCAGGCCCACTTGCGAAGGCATGGAAGCGTCAGACACATTATTTATTCCTTTCCAGGGAGGCATTCCCCACCGCTTCATTTTAAATTAGGATAAATCCTGATGCAATAAATCTTGCTGCTGGTACTTACGACTAATACCGTGGAAGCTGAAGACAGTGTAAACTTGGAACAGTCAGACGGAATTGCAACCACTGAGGGTTAGTTCACGAAAGGCATTTAAGTTCACTAAAAAGAAGGACCTGAACCTTGTGGCAGGAAAGCCTAGAGACTTCGGCTAAGAAGGAGGGCTTTGCTCGAAGACGTGGATGTGGAAACGACTATAATAACGGCTTCGGTGCACGCCACAATCTCATCAACATTAGAACGAAACTGGACACTCCATTCGAAGGTTACCTTTCCTTTGTTAATTCGATAATAGAGGCAAAGGATATGAGTGAATCACCTCATTGTTTTGCATGAGTAATTACAAAAGCCACTCACACCAGGCACAGTAGTGAAGTAGTGGATGAGGAGCTGCTTGGAATCCCAACCCCAACTGTCACCATCCATCGTAGCTCCACCGGCTCTAGCCATTCGAGTACGATGGGCGAATACCTCAAATTGTTATGATGCGTAGCAATTCGGGACGGCTCTGTTGCTACTGTAAGCACGGAGTGGAAAACTGGAACGTAAAGCATTCAAACCAAATTGCAACGGCTGTACTGGCGGTCAACTTTGGAATGCGGTGTCAAATTTAGGAGTGTCTTAGTAATGAGCAGCTCATCATTGTTGCGTCGCGCCCTGAACGCTACTACTACTAGCTACTTGAAGTAGCTATCAGCGCATTCGTGTTTTATGCCTTCGCCGCATACTCAAAGGGCTCAAGCACTACCATTGCTGCCTGGCGTCTTGACTGAGTCTGAGTACCGATTCTGATGAATATAGCACCACTCTCAGTACGCAGTACCGATGCAGGAGCAGGGAAATTGGCACAATGGACTTAGAGTCCATGCTTGATTAGGATGTTGTGTAAAAACGTCCATTTACAGCCTCTGACAGGGAAATTTACGAATACACTTGTTTTTACACAAATGCCTCTGCAAGAGGAGATTGGTGTGTGAACCGTACCTGTTGTCGGGCATCGTCAAGCTCTCAGCAGTCCAATGTAGCTAACCTGATAGAGAACAATTTTCAGGGATATGAATCAACGAGACACGCTACCACAAAATAATCTTGGCGGCCTTTTCGCTATAGTACAAATCCACCTAATCTTTTTTCCCTTCCTGCTCGGGAGCCGAAATAGCAGTAGCCACTGGGAGCCTCGAGAACGAATCCCAAAACAAAGACTGTGCAGTTGAATCTGCCCCTACGATGGACAACGCTAAGCCTACACCGCCAGTCTTTCAGCTGCTCTAGGGGCTGATGATACGTCTCATAACGTAGGAGATAATTCGGTCCAGAAAATTATCTGCACGGGACTTTCTTCGATACAATGGCTAGGAAAAGAAGAGGAAAACCGTTTTTTTTTACAGTTCGCCATGAGTGAGAGCGGAGCCGAATCCGAAGCTGCGATGCTGGAGGTAGAAACCAACCTTGTCGTAAACTAGTTTGCATCCCGAGGTGGAGAAGAGGCGGGTGCCTTCAGGTTCCCAATCCAGCTCGGCCAGCACAAAGTCGATCATCGTCTCAGTGGCTTCAACTCCCAGGCGGCGTGCAGCGTCGACTATACACGCGCTTACGTGCACCTCCTGCAGTGGAAGGAAGGGCACCACTGCAGTTATCACGTGGCTGCTTATCAGGTCCGAAAACTTGAAGGCGCCTATAAGGCGAAATAAGATATAGTACAACACAAATTACCTGCAGCATCGAGGTCAATAGCAGATAAGAAACGAGAAAGAACAACCATCCCGATTCCACTGTGGATGAGCGAACCTCCAGAGACTCAGTATAAAAGCTTTCCAGCCGTTTTGTGCAATTGCAACAAAGCTACTACCAGATCCTTATGCCGAACTGAGATACAACTTGGAGGCTTCGTTGGTGTGCTGCCAAATCCACTCTGAAAGAGCAGCAATCCTGATTTAGCCAGATCAAAGCTACCCCTAAGCGTCATAGAAAAAAGGTATCCACCGCGGAGTAAAAGCATTAAAACATCTTGAGTTCTATCTCTTGTCAGTCAAGTGTCTGTCAGAGCCACAGACTCTATCAAACCTGGACAAGAACGCAGCGCACGAACCCTCTTCATTGTAGACTGACTTCGAGAGAGCTCGACGGAGGTCAGCATACTGAATCGATTTACGATTCTTCCCAGTGTTAAGGTGATTGTAAACGTATTCGTTAATGAGTGAAGCACCATTGTTTCTAAAAACGGGAAGGGAGTCAAAATGACTACGCATATTTAGCCAACCACGAAGATCAAGCAAAAGCAAATCACATTGAAATCACCAAAGGAGATCATCCTGCATCACTGACATTGGATGTGAGAATAAGGAGTCAAATCTCACCCCATGAAGACAAAAATGGCCTTCCTGTAGTCCACGCCCTTGATGGATTCTGTGTAACCCAAAAGAGGAACGAGAACATCCAGAATGCCCGCGGGCATTTTATGAACCTCGTCAAAAACCAACATAGCTCGGTTGCATTTGCTAACTACCTCTCGAATGTCCTCCAGTACTTTGGCCTAGAGAGTTTGCAAACGATAATAAAGAGGGATGGTGTCAACAAGCTGATGATAGCTCCAGCTTAGAATAAGTTTGAGGCAAATTAAAGAACAACAGTACACCTTGTAGAATTCGACAGAGTCTTTGAAAAGAAAATCAACGGTAGCATCGAAGTAACGATAAAAGCTACTCTTCTCGCCTGCCCTGAACAAACTCGACGCCAAAATGGAGGCTGCGTAGTTTTTGCCAACACCTGTAAATCCATGAAGTGAAAAAACCAGACTTCTGCGAGGACTTGGATCCTCCAGATGGGCCTAAAATACAGAGAAGATTAAGAGGTGCCTTTTCCAACACAAAAACAGCCTTGCGGCCATTTACGGAAATAAAAAGGGCAAAAATCCTACCATAAAACAATAACAAGTAATAGGACGCACGCACCTTCACATAGTTGTAGAACCTTTCAATGGCAATGTGTTGTCCATAAAGTTTCGCAGTTAGGTTCCCATAAAAATCTTAAATATGTGAGTCAAGGCAAACCTACATTCATGATTGAAATGAAGAGCATCGCTGCAGCATTCACCAAAAAGACACTTGACCGGCTCGAAGAATTTTGGTAGGAAGGTGAGACCACTTGCAATCGATATGCCAAAAGCATAGGTTAAATAGCACACCACCAGAGCAATGTTCGCAGGCTTCATCTATAGTGCCAGAATAGTGTCTAACGAGGTTAGCAGTGCCAATAGGTCAAGACAGGAATACTATTCACAGTCCCAAAATTAAAACCTTCCACCAAGTTTTGCCGTTAAACTAAGGGCTATAAGTTTTTAAGCCAAAAGAGAACCATAAATTTAACCAATCTGCAAGGAAGACATAAAGTGAGAAAAAAGTGAAAAAAAAGTGAAAAAAAGAGCTGAATGGCTATAGCTCTATTTAATCAGTCAAAATTTTACATTTGAGTAAGCTTTTTTGGTAATATATAGCCCAAGGAGCTCTAAGGTCATTTAAATTGTTTTGTTAACCAACAACTTCAGCGGTGTTTTGGACAGTTGCATGTAGCTAGTTTCCGGGCATGCTAGGGAAACTTGTGCAAAGTATTAGGAATTATCCAAAAACTTCTGTACTCCTAACCGGCGTCTTCTTCGTTGTGGGGAATCGTGTGAGGCTGAAATACAAGTAATGGAGCCGATTTCGATAATGCGTTATTTTGATAGAGACAACCTCTTGCGTCGTCGTATTTGCAACCAGCTAAAAGTTGGTTTCTTTATTTCATCTAACAATGTCTAAAGGAACTGGGTATGAAAAAGTTAACAAGCAATGATAGACTCCAACGGGTTACTGTTCTTCTCAATCCTTTTGCTCATCAGAGGGGAATATTAGATAACTTCGATCAAAATGCGATGCCTCTTTTACAAATAAGCGGTCTGGATGTACAAATGGTGTATCTGGACGATGATGATGAAGCAAAGGAATACTCAAGTGTGCTAGATCCTACGAGCACTGATGCAGTCATTGTTGCTGGTGATGACAATCTCTTGGCTAAGGTAACGTCAATGGAGGTGGCCCTATTTTGCCCCATAGACCCTTACCGGACTCCTACATAGGAGTGAATATGTGGTAGGTTGCTGTTTTTTCCAGTTGTGTTGTAGACGACGAACCTTTGGAATATACCCATTTACGTGCTTCCTCTGGGGGTTTTTAATAACTATTGCAGTACAGTGCTCAAGGATAGTAACTTTATTAGGTATTCCAATTAAGTGACTTTGTTCTATTTGTCTTAGCTGGTGCTACCAAATGATTGTACCAGTTTTGCAAAATAAGTCGCATCGCAGAAATGTCCTGAGCATTCGACCTGTGGTAAAAGGCACTCCCGAGTTTGAGAACAGTGAATATTTTCAGGTACGCACAAATTTGACTGCTTAAGGTTGTCCCTCAATAGCCTGATTCCTCTAAGCAGGAGGTCTTTGCAATGACTGGAATTGAATGGAGCTGCTGGCGCGATGTGGAGTACGGCGGTGGTGGTCTTTCTCTAACCGCTTCTCGTCCCACCAGCCACAAACCTCGCCTCGCCACTTCTCCGAGATGCGGCGACCCTGGCGCTTCCAATGATATCATTGTCGATAATTCTCTTAGCTCCGCTTACAGGTACTATTCGCTCCGCCAGTGCTTTAAGCGCCTTGGTGCCGTCTGCCGCCATACCTTGGCCTATCTCCGCGCTCCTGCCTTTGATCCCACTCCACCCACCGCAGAGCAGCTGGAGGCGGCCAGAAGGAAAAGAAAGCCCCTCAGACGAGGATGTGCTAAGCAAGCAACGCTTATTGTTAAACCCGTGTGTGGTGGTTGTAAAAAGTGCTGGAGTGAGAAGCATAGGGTGTGTTTGCTATTAATCGGCCCGTTCTTAAATGTTACGCCTGATATACTTTATTACATGCCCAATGAAGTCTTGATTTTTGACCACGCCTCTCACTACTCGGGGAAATGCTCAATCCCCCACAGGTTATGATTCATGCACATAGAATTTTAATATCTAAACATGACAATTTACTGAATAACAACTGTACTTTGCTCACTGAATAAGGGACATGTCAAGCCTTACCGTGGGGAACCTTTTCATTTTACCTCTTACTATATCAATTTGTGGTTAATGGTGTCTGAATTTACTTTCTGGGGAAAAACAGTTTTTCGAACACTATTGGATAACTTGCTTTGGCAGGCTTTGAACAGCCATGAATGTTTTCGAATCAAAACAAATTAGATGCATCGTATACTAGGTAAAATTCCGCTTTAGTGTATGTAGCTTTAAAGTGCTCGCTAAAGTACGAACGTGGAAGACTGAGTTGTTACTTTAATGTATTTGTAAAAATTTTGTTTATTGGGATGTTTTCCAATGTCCATGGTTGCTTTACTGCCTACTTGCCTATTTGTTATTCATTAAAATTTATTTTTAATGAATATGCTTTGCCATAGACATGGCTTGTAAATTTTACTTTAGCTTCTTGGCATGCTTCTAAATGAGAGGTTTTCGGTAATAGGGATCCGCTTTCCCTCGAATACCAATTAAAAATGCACTCTGAATCTCTGCTTTTATTTCCTCATTATTTCATCTTTTCCTTATCTATTGTTACATATAGTTTGTATTATCGGGTTCTAGAAATGCTCTTGTCAAAACTGTCTTGCATTCTTTGGCTGGGAATTTCAGCGTCGGCGTCCGGTTTTTGATGGGGACGTACTCACATTTCATGTTAATATGCATTTGTGGCACAGCGAAGGCGAGCAAAGTGTGGAAAAAATCGGAATTTTGATCAGTTATTTTAAGCTAGTTCTAGTTTAGTTCAAAGCTAGTAATATTTTTTGCGACTTCTAATGCTTTGACCTGGGCTGGTGTGCCTGAAATGCTACTTAAACTCATTCAGTAGCGTTTATTATGCATTATTTTAGTTGGCAGTGTCAAAAATGGTGCCAGAGGCCTCGCGGAAATCATCATGGTTGGGGTGGATTTTCGGTTTTTCCTCATACTCCACTGCCAAAAATGACAAAAAGACATTGAAATCACAAAATACAGAATTCATGGATTACGAAAACCCCGAGTGTGGTTCGGAAACACGTCTCAATGTACCTCCGGCCTCGCGTATCGTCATCACTCTTGATGGGGTATGTTACTTAGTTCCATTAATCACTTCAACTACGACTTAAGTGGCTTTCATAATCAAACTTTTAAGAAGGCTTTAAATTTATTGTTTACCAATGTTGGCAATATCTTCTGGTTCCATTATTTGAGGTATTTTCACGTGTTGGAGCATGGCCAGTAGAATAAGTGAGTGTGAGCAATTATCGGCGAATTTCCTAGATTTTGTTACGGAGCGTTGCTTTGCCGCAAATTTCCTGCTCTCCCATTTACCTTTTAATCTCGCTGACGGAAAGGGTTGGTTGAACAAATCGGCTGGTGTTTCTGTGTCTTCATGTTCATTTGAAATCGCACTTTGGTTTTCGCTCTCTTTTTTAGCCTTCCTTCTGCAGCAACAAACGAACGCGAAATTTTCTCCTGCGAAAACGTTGACAATTTACTCTTTTATTTTCGTAAATTCACTGAACAGCTTTTTAGTCCCAGCACTCGGATTTTGCATTTTCGAATTACACAGTCAATGCTTTTAATTAATGTTTTTTGTGCATAAAGTGTCATTTGCAAAATGCTCACGTATCTCTCGAGAGACATCGACTTTAACTAGGAGGATGATTGTTTTTCCTTGGGAATGGCTAAACACGCATGAATTATAAATCATAATTTGTTTTCATATTTCCATAAAAATAACAAACTGACACACTCTTTGTCTCCCCTACGCATTAACCATTCTATCTTTCACAAGATAACATTCCTAATATCCGAAAGCACTTTTGCTTTTACGCCTTTATGAATAAGGTTTTCAGGGTGGAAATTTGCCCTACATTCAGTGCTTGCATAAGCAGTTTTTTTCGCAAGTGAACCTTAAAGGTTGGACCTGGTGTAAGATGGAACAGTTTGCGTATTATTGCGGTTTGAGTTCTGTTTCACCACATTCATGTCAATGGAGCCTTTTGTCTGAGGTGAGCGTTGTCCAAGTTACCTTCTTTCTAATAGGGCTATCTTTAGTGGATTTGTTTTGTTTAAAGTGATAGATATACTGTGTCATAAAATTCTACTGTCTTTACTTCGATCGGAATGCCTTCTTGTAAGAAACGCATTTCCTCTTCCCTTCTTTGTAGGCAAAATGTGATTCGTGGTAGACGGTGGCCAAAATGGCATTGCTCAAGCACATTCTTTTTAAGAAGTCTAGTCAATTTCTTATCTGCTGCATTGAATTCCTATTTACCTCTCGGTATGGTAAAGGTCCTCCCTACCCATTTCTCGATCTACAGCTTTAGTTAGAGGTACCTGAAATCTGGTAGGTTCATCAAATATTGAAGAATGTTAAATATCTCCCAACTTACTTGTAGCCGAAATGACATTTCTAAAACGTGGTTCTTCTAATCCCTACGTTTTTTCGATTCATACCAGTAGGATTTTGGTTAGAGATGAAAAGAGTAGGGGCAGGGAGAGAGGGTGGTAGGTGAATCGCAATCTCATCCCCAAAGTAGCCCACTTGTATTCGATTATTCGCCCTCTTCCTTTCGTTGAACAACTGCTAGCTGTAGACAGCGTGCAAGCGTGTTTGAGCGAGATACCGAGCGGGTAGGTCATTCATTTTAATTTGGTCCTGACAACTGCTGCCTTCTTGCTGTCGCCTACTTCCTCCATTTCCCGTTAAAAGTTATTCACTTTTGTCAAGCTGAATTTTGCTTATCCTCCCTCTCCCATTTGTGCAATCCTCGCCCTGTCAGGTCCTGCGTCGCATTCACTGATTTGAATCCCATTCTTTGATGCATTTTGATCCACCCCACCAGTGACGCTGACAGTTAACAAAACGCGAGCGATATCATGCCATTGCGTTTGCTCCTTGAGAGCACCAATAAATTCCATGGATTCACGTGTCTTCAGTAAAATCGTCGCTAACCTGGATGCGGATTTCGGTGATGGCCAAATGCGTCTCTGCTCATATCGGCCTTGCTATTCTGGACCACTCGCTGCCGGGATCTTGGAAGAAATTCTAACAGCACGGTCGGTTCTCTGCTATCTACTTGACCCAATCAACTACTGCGCAAAAAGTAATGGTGTACTTATTCACCGTTTAAGAAGATCTTACATGTGATACACTATTTTAAACTAATTTTGGTGCGAAATTGTATGAGCATCTAAAGTGAGGGAGTGTCGCATATGTGTGACACAGGTAGCGAATCCGTTAATAACTTAACTAATCATGTTACTGGTATTGTGGACATGCTTATCCGCTCGCACACCTTTTTATTTCTGTGTAAACTTCAGTCTCGCATTAGCTACTTGGAGGGCTGTAGATTTGTCTCCAGGATCTGTTTCCCAGCCACAAAAATATGAACAAATACTCATCCAGGCTACGCATACTAAATCTAATAATGACTTAAACACTATTAACTGAAGGCGCGTCATAACAAATGCCAAAATACTGGGTGCGTTTTCTCCCAATTTTGCCCCATTAAAGAAGTTGCAATTTTCGAAAATTTTTCCCACATTGTCGTACGAGACAGGTTGTATGTATACTAGTCGCATGTTTGTAGGCTTTTTTTGCATCAGGAAGCAGTGTTAAACATTGCACCGAATTTCCACTGAGAGGGGAGCTGCATTTTTACCCACACCCATTTGTTATCCTTCTGTCTGAAATCCTTGCAGATCTGCCTATCCCGTATAAAAGCATTGTATCGCTCTCTTCATCCCCGTCTAAATTGGCTGCATATACCCACCCTCTAACTGTTGCCGTATATTTTTCCAAAAAAATAAAACCGCGCTTCCTGTATATGTTTTGTCCTGTATCTTACAATCGCCCGTCGTCTCGTCTCATTTGTCAGCGAAATTTGTTCGTACAAGATATCAAGGTGTCATGGCGCTCCGTAGGTTTGCAGGACCTCGGTTTCGCTCCGGGATGCTCAACAAGTAAAGGTAGTAGTGGCCTCATTGTCGGGGACTAGGAGCATAGCTCCATTCTATTAGCGCAGTGACCGGGTCGCGGGAGACGGAAAAGGTTTATATTTGTCAAGAAGTACGTTTAACATAAGTGTCATGCTAACACTGTTTGATGGACCGGTGATTGCAATGGTTTCCGCCGCATTTTACGGTCGTCATCATAGTTTGATGTCGATTAGGTCCCTGCCGCCGGAGTGGAAGCCTGATCGCGGGAGATTGGAACAACTCGCATTGCAAAATAAACTATGTACTCCTCTTTTGAGCCTTGTTCCGTAGTCACTTTTTCGTTTTGATTGCTATAAAGCTGCCGGTGGCAGCAGCATTGAAACTGAAAATCGGATGATACGTTGAGTTAGCTCCTTGTTTAATCATTGGCAATGCACACCTTAGTTCTCTATCCGATGTACTGCATCAGGGAGGAATTCATTTGGGGGCCAGGGACATAGGCATCTGACTAAACGCAAAATTAGTAAAGGCGTATGTCTTCGGATAATCGCAAGAAGTTGATATTCTAGGCAGTTTTCGAGGACGATTTTAATCCGTCCAGCCCGATGCTGCTTGCTTACCGATCATAATACAGAACTCAGGATCAAAAGTTGATATTCCTTCTGTGGTGAGTCTCCACAGATTTAGCTATCCCCAGTCGACATCTTTTATTAATGGGAATGTTTAAATCAGTCCTCCAACGCAGCTTCGCTGCCGTCATCGAGACTGAATTGGAAGGCTCCATGTGGACAGTTATAACACTACTGAACTTTTATTATCGTTTCCTCTACAGGACAATATTCGTGTCAACGTGTCACCAGCAGCGCGGAGTCTGGTGACCTACGTGAGACAGGCTATGGAGCACCTCACTTCTCCGGCTTATCATTCCAATTCTGTGGAGCCCCTTCCGCTCTCCTGTCTCTGCTCCTCCGTCATCCTCTGCCCCTCGCGCACTGATGTGAGTTCCTCCCTTTCCCTTGTGAAACTTTTCGAGTTTTCTTTCATCTTTTCCAGGTGAAAAATAGTACACAACTATGCAAATTCCCGCTATTTGAAAAAGTTTTCCCTATAAGTATGTACACCTCTATCACTTTGTCTATCTTGTGACCCTTCTCGTCAAGTTTTATGACCCCTTATCCCAAATGAAAGCATTTTAATGCATGTATGATGAAGGAGTAAAAGAATGTTTCCCGTTTTTGATGGCAAAGCCCTTGACTTGTGATTTGAAAGGAACAAAATGAAGGATTGGCTTTTTGGCCAGTTCCTCTGTGAACTGAACTTGCGACTTTCCACGTTATTAGTCCAGTTTTCCCAAAAACTGAGTTATGTGCGAGCAGCCTTGTCTAATTCTTTCTTGTAATCAATAATACGCTCAGAATGCATGAATATGAAGACGAATTTTTCTTAGCCTCCTGCCGCGATATGCGTGAAACTTACGATTTATTAGTCGATTTGAGCTTTGTCCTATCTTTCGTAAATATTACTCCTCTTTCCGATCACTCGATCCATCCAGTTGGCAATTCATGCCAGGTTGTACATTTCCTTGTACATGTAATGATAAAATAGTGCCAGAAATCTGGATTCCCTGGCGGTTGGGTGCCTCGAGGTTCATAGGTCGTTCGTGGTAACACCTCCCATTGTACTTTATTTGTTACTGTCTCAGGCAAGGACAATCAATCTCGTGTTGGTGCAGTATTAACGACGATTCAATCAAAATCTACCTCATGGAAGACTTATCACTTCCAAATTAATGCCATCGATGCCTCTTTTTTATTGGCTTGATAAGAAAAATCCTTGTTTGAATCTATTCTACTCTAAAAGGTCTGTTAAAATGCTATTTTGAGTTTTTTACGAAGACCATATTTAGTTAACGGTTTTTCTGCCCTCTCCAAACCGATTGTCTTAGATAAAGAGTGGTTTTTTATCCACTGCTGAGTTAAAGGATTTAATTTGTTGTACCTTACAAATCCAGTATTATAGACCTACTTGGGTTGCAGACGATTATTTATAGATATGACTATCTAACTCGTGAAATGCTGATCTACGTTTAGTAAGGTCTCGGATTAACACTTTTAGGAACCTTCCGTACTCCCATTCGCTGTTCCATAAAAGCCGGCTGAATCCGGCTCCTCCTTGAATAAACTTGGACTGTGCTCTAAAACGCGTCTCAATTTTCACTGGACTATAATACTACCTAATTGAACTCTTTGGGGTGAAGAACGGGGCTTTTGTTTGCGTTGCAAATGTTATTCTTCATGGTTCCCTGGATAGCGAAATCGAGGTCTTGAAAACCACAAATGCGATTTCACTGCCTTGTCGTTCAATGCTCTTTCAATTGCTGTCGCAATGGTTGCTTCCAAAGTCTTATCCAAAAATGTGAATAATTATTGGTCCAGTATGAATTCTGCTTTTTTAATTAGAATAATAAAAAATTGGAAGAATTTAATCGTTTCTTTTTTGGGGATTCCAGCAAGGCGCTCTTGCAGCGGCAAAGTGACTTATCAGTTTGCGTGTGCCCGTGAAACTAACGAACTCTCCTTTCAATTAACCTCTTCTAGGAAAGGAAAAAGAATATTTTCTCTCTATTGTTTTGCAAAGTATTTTTCTCCCGACTTTACTTTTGAGATTGGGAATATTTTTTTATTATGCCATAAAATATACTCTTTGTAAAGTCATTAGGAATTATCCCAAAAAGAGTAAAAATCTTTGTAAATTATCTGTGACAATACCTTTTTTGCCCCCCCCCCTTCCCTCGAAAAAAAGGTATCAGAGTACTGCCGCCTCAACAGTACCATCAGAACGACACTATAGTTACCTTTTCCACTGTTGATTTGTAATTGTCCATATGGCGCAGCGGTGGAAGACACCACTACGGCAGTTTATGATATAGCCTTTATCGTCATGTTTAATCTCTTGCTCTCCATAATTTTATCTGCAATTGCAAAGCAATTGTTCCACCTTTTTCCAGGTGAAAATAATTAAGACGAAGGCATTTTACTAGTAAATCGCTACGCTGAAGACATCTATGCATGTTTTCCAATGGGACTTTTGCTTACACACATTTAGTGTTTCCTTTTATTACCTTTTGTTTTCACCCTTCTATTACTGTTCATTATTTTTAGCATCACTTATTAGCCCATGAAATATCTCCCTGTTACGCGGCAGTTTTAGCACTTGAGCCACTTGTCAAGACTTGATAAAGCATACCGCTCTGGCAGTGGTTAATTTATCATCGGCTTGCAGCGATACAGATGCAGTGGGCAGAGTTCCATGTCAACACTACTTTGAATTAATCATTAGGAAACCCATCCCCGAACCGAGATGGTATTGCTTGGTTGACGGCCAAATGCAGGACGCTTGAAATGTCGGTTAAAATCCAGTTGACCAACTACCACTCTTTTCTCTCTCCTACTGCTTCCTATTTCCGCGTCTGATAAGACAGTAGTCGTTACGACTAGATGGGGATACTCTATCCATATCACGTTTTCCCTGCATATTCGAATCGTTGCCTGCTTGTTGGTCCTCAGGTCGTCGTTATCAGTGGTGCTGCTATATACGTCCTCTAATCTCTTCATCATTATAGAAGTGCAATGTGACACTCATGCAGTGCCAAATGAAAAGTTTCTCCCCTCTGATAACTCGTGACGTACTGTTCAGCATTGGTCAGAATCTTAGTGTCCTCTTTTTCCCCTAGTAACACTTAAAATATCCCTTCGTCCTCATTTGGCATGAGTGACACCTCATTCATGGCATTAGTTTCCTATTAAACAGAAGAATTTGTACTTCATACGCCTTCAAAGCTTTCTCTATCAGTGATCTACGTGGTCCTAAAATCAAAACACATTTTTCCCAAATTTATGTTTCTAATTCCACAAATATCTTAGCTACCTAGTATCTCAGATATCCATCGATAATGGCCATTTAGTTAGTACTATCATCTATCATGCTAAAAAATTCCGCTACTTTATCCAGTTGATCCATCGCATTGCAGTTGGAAAGTAGGTTTTGCAATGGATGAAATTGGTGAGGAACAGTGAAGGTCTATGATAGTGCACGGCGATGATTTTGAGGCATGCCAGTCCCAAGATTGGGACGCAGTACGAACAAAGCTTTCCTTTAAATCGTGAGCTAAGATAAGGGCTTTTTCACTGGAGAAAAAAATGCATAAGGAGAGGACACTTGATGAGTCGACCTAATCACTCAGTGTGACATTCTCTTGTTACTGTTGTTACTGCTATTGGAGAACGCGCATTTCAACCCTAAGACACGAAAATGTCAACCCCGAGTGTGTCTCTGTGTTTATGCTTCTGTCTTCCTGCTTGTGTGAGCAGAGGACAAGAGGAGGGAGAGGTGACACTGCCAACGCCTCACTGTCACGCCCATCAATCAAATGGTCAAAATGTAAATTTACCTGCTTTTTTCCACACTCACATACCTCCACCTACGGCAGACCCAAGTCCTCGGTTTAGGTACTGTTGAGTAGTTAACCACTTATGAGCCAGGATTTTGTTATTAGAACCCAGATTTTAATGCCCTAACACCCGTTTTTAAACGCGTAGAGTTGCCAACGTGATCTATCGCGTCAATGGATATTTGACGACTAGAAAGCTATAGAGAAAAATTTTCGACTTTAGCCCTTTAACTCTCCAGTAGGAAGAATATTTTCTGTTCTGGTAGATTATACCAAAACTCATTCTTCTCTTGTCTCTCTTCCCTACTGGTAGATGCTCTGCTCAGATAAGCTCACGATTCCCGACTTTCTAATTAGACCTATTATGTTAGCGCGTATGATTTATTTTGGCTCGTTTCCTTACGTCAAGTTCCTTGATTCTTTTGGTAGCTAGGTCGAGAGCCTCACCGTATCGCTTCTCATTATCATCACTTTTGAGTGAACAGCTGTGAGTATCACCCTCTACTGCCTCTTTTTCACACTCAGAAGGTCTTTTGGAGGGTCTCGCCCTGTGTTTTGTCTTTGCAAGCCGCTGGCGCCATTCGGCAAAAGCACGAGTACAATGTTTTATAGAAAGCACCAGTTTAACTCTAATCAGCCCACGTAGGTGTTTTGCTCTTATGCTTCACCGCACCAACCAATTAGAGACCCTCTTTCTCGTCTCGGCATCGAACTAGCGTCCCCTGGGTGCTAGCTTAGGAGAAAGGGACGGGAACGGAGAGGGAAAATGGTGGGGAAGAAACTGTAAAATGGGGTTATTCTTCGAGATATAGAGGCGCACCTCGAGTATCGAAGTTTCCATCATTTTCGGCTCAACACTGTTTTGCTTTTCCTTCCAATTGCATTCAAGTAATATTAGGCTACTAGTTTATTGCTAAATTGTCGACGTTGGCTTCTTTCAATTGACGGTTGGTAAAAGGGTTTTTTATACAGTGTTTGTCCTTCTCTATCGGACATAATGATGTATTTTATGTAAGAACGATTTATTAGTGGAAGTTAAGTACCTCAGTTGTTGTTTCAATGGATAATGCTGCTAAGACGTTTCGAAACATTTTTTGTATGCCTTTGCTACTGGTAACCTGTAAAACTGCTTTCGAAATGGGTGCCAGGAGGCCCAATAGTGCAACAAAGAGTAGCAATTTCTTCATTTTACAGAATGAATTCCGAGCCTCGTTGCTTCATCATGTGATTTTCTCCTGAAACATTATTCTACCTTAAAAATAACTGTGCTCGAGGAGCAGAGGATAGAGCGATTTTAGCTGGTTTCGCTTAGGGACTTTTAAACGAATCCTCATTAAGGCATATTCTTTGAATTGCTTTGATAATTTCCTTCTCAACGAATTGTCAAAAATGCACTTTTGGAAAGTCCTTCATTGACGTGAGAGCGATTTAAGCAGGTTGATCTAAGAGAACAAAAATGGATTTTGCTGATCTTTTTTCATATTTTCTCCATTTTCCAAATCCTCATCTACATGTTTCTTCTTTTCTCCAACATTTCACACGACTCTTTGCTGTGGTCATTTTTAGTCACGCAATCTGCTGAAATTGAGTAATTCCTTAACACCTTGTAGACATTTGCCCATGCCTTCTTTGGTTCTCTCAACTCTACAGACGGAGGAATTTGTTGATAAGTTAACGCTGCGCTAATTTTCTAACACCTAAATCTGGTCGACTTTGGGTGCTTAATGGTGTAGCGCCCCGAGACTTCCCTGAGGGTGAAAAAAGACAATGCCCAGGGATTATACGTATTGCCGATGTTCAGAAGGACTGCGTGGTGGAGGTTGCTGGCATGGCCCGGATTTCGAGCCGTCCGGTAGGGGTACAAGGGTGGAGCCTCTAGGTTATCCGTTACTGAAATCGAGAGTTAAACAAACAATCAAGTTATCACTTAGTCTCTCCTCTTTTGATCGTTGCCTCCTTGCCCTCCTCTTGGTCAACCCCCCGCATCAGCCATCACAATGCAATAGAAGCTGTAAGGAAATGATCACGAGCCAACCGGAATAGTCAGCGAATTTCTGCGCATCAGAGATATTTGATTGCAAAACCTCCGATTCCTCTTGGCAATTCTACTGGATCCGGAGTTTCATCCTTTATGGGAACTGTATCGGGGGTCGAGGAGATGTGCTAACCATCACCTATGCCCATCGCTGGTCGTAGGAACACTGGGCTAGAGGCAAAGTTATATTCCAAAGGACGGGCTTTAACATAGTTCCGTGGGATAAGGCTTCAAGTCTATTTATCCTTGCCACCTTATTCTCACTTCAGCATTGTCCAACTATATCTACCTAGGTTGCATCCAGCCACCAGAGAAGTGGAGGAGGTATCGCGTGTTTGCTTCATTGGTATCTTCATTTAGGTACCGTAGACAACCTCGTGACGAATTAACCAGATTGTTCACGGTCATGGTTGGTTTTGCTTCAGTTGTTAGCAGCATTCATGTGGGGCACGAGACCTAGGTAGTTACCAAAGGTAGGCGCCATTCTCAGCCCTTTTGCTAGGGGTCGTCACAAATTCTCCAATTCGCAGCTTATGGCCTTCTTCCTTCATGTTAATGTTCATCACCCAGCAGTAGAAATCAGGGTAGTTGTCCTTTATGGTTGGATTTGCCTTCCGCTACCAAAATTGGAGCGTCTTGAGACAAAAGAAGACAATGCTCGGGCTAATTGTGTGCGTTGGGGGGGGGGGCCTGGGGGCTATCGTCATGGCCAGGAGGCCAGGTCACTTGGCATAGGTGCAATGGCGGGGTCTTGAGTGCCTCGGTACCAAAACCGCGATTTAAACGAACATTTAAGTTACTACAAATTGGCTCTACAGGCCACTAGGCGCTGCGGAGGAATGGACTGTCGAAGGGCCTATTATCTTAATTTCTCTCAGAAGTATCGTCTTTATCCTGATTCCGTTTCGAATATTTCCATTGCTGTTGCTCATTTGATCGTCATTAACATTTGTCATTTAAGTTCTCGGTTGGTAAGTGAATTTTGTGCGTTTGTGGTAGTGAATACCATTCCACTTTTCGAAATAACAACGATGTATATTGTGTGCACATTGCTTTATGTTGAAGCCAGTTGCTTTGATGGAGGGCAAATTCACTTCTATACGATTAAAACTTTTCGTAAACCTTTTTTAAAATGATGCTTTTAGAGACAAATATGGGGAAGGCAAACAATGCGGCAAAGAGGAGGTATTTCTTCGCCTCAGACGATAAGATCGCCTCGTGTATCACTGGAACTTTTCCTTTATTCCAAAAGGAAACTCGTATTTAGCCTAGAAAAAGTATGCGATCTTTCACACCTGACCCAGAACTGTCTCAATTATCCAGTGCATTTTATCCGGAGGGCAAAGTTTTCAATGGTTTGTACAAGTGCAATTCTTTGAACCGCTTTTGTAGTCCCTTTCCGTCTGATTTGACAGAATATTCTTCTCTAAAATAATTTTTCCTTGATATGAGGCGGATGCTAGATAAAAGTTGGTTTGAGGGAGGAAAGCATAAGCTTTCAGCACGTCTTGTTCATGCACTCCCCTTTTCGTATGCCTCTTTCTGTGCGCTCAATCCTTTTGTTGTTGCCATCTCAACACCTCATTTTCCCTCAGATTATGCTCTACTTCCCCCATGTTTTTTTTCAGATAACAGATATATATTTAATGAATTAACGGCGGACTTTTTCAATTAGCTGCGTTGGCCTGCTTTATGCAGTAAATCGAGTGTCGAGGTATCTATTGTTCGGATCTCTGCGGTATCCCGTCTCTGTGCGCTTTCATATTTAATTGTGTCCATCCCTGCTACTCATTCCCTCACCCGCCCCCAACTGTGCAGTGAGATGTCAAATTTCATTGGTTTAAACTGCCGTAGCACCTCGAGACTTCCATAAAGGTGAAGATGTATTACTGACTTACAGAAGGACTGGGGGTGGGGGGGAGCTACTGGCATGGCCCAAAGGCCAGGCTGCCCGATGGAAGTACGGTAGCCGAGCCCTTCAGTATCAGCGTAACCAAAGTGGAAAGCTAAATGATCGCAGCATTACACTATTGGCAAACGAACATTGACAACTAAGACATCTGTAAATGGCGCACCACTTTTTTCGGGTTTTCAAGTAACAATGCGTTTCGTATGCTGAT